ATATATATATATATATATATATATATATATATATATTACACACACACACACACACACGTATAGTGGTGTTTCATTTCAAACACAGAAAAATGTGGATATTTTGGGTTACTTTTTTTAACCTGAAAATTGGGAATTTTTATTATCAGAGAAAACCAGGATCTCTGATGATGACCCTATGACAATGATGGAGGCAACAATCAGAGAAAATTATTATACATGGGCCTTTAGTATATTTACAGAATGGTAGTGTAGGGATTTCAGGGGAAAAAGGCAAAAAATTATGAAACCTCATTATTGTCAGACATCAGTCTTGCTACACAAAAATGGAACACTAACAAAATGACAGGTGCTTTGTTCTTGCCTCATGCTAATTCAGCTATTAGAACCTTAAATAGAGACACATGGCTCATTCTACTCTGTCACTCTGTCATAAAGTCATTTTGCTCTCACCATGGCTATAAGAAGGGGTGAGTGACACACTAAAAACTCAGATAACCTAGAGATAGCAACAGAAAGAGAGATTCTTACAGAGGCAAATGAAAACCCCTAGATAAATCTAAGCTCAGGAGGAGAAACTTCCTCTGAGACTTACTGAGGTTTTGCTGTTGTTTGTTAAGTGAATAATAAATGCAAACCCCGGAAAGAGGGTAAATTTGTACCATGCCCAGTGGGAATATGTATTATGTTAGCAGCAGAATGAAGCAATTTCATGGGCCCTAGAAAAAAAAAGATGATTGCCACATACTACTCTCTGCTTATGGTACAGTTCATGGACAACTGGGCAACCATTTTTGGATGTTCCTGTTGAAATGTGAAAACATCAGTTCCTGAAGATGGAGGGAAAGAGAAGATTCGATAGATAGGTCAACCTGAAGGAAACTACAAACCAGTTCCCATTTGCTACAAACTAACCATTTCTGGTTCACAGTAGGCCTGTGTGAAGTGGCTAGTATTTGCTTCAGATTCAGATTTGGCCGATTTGGAGGACAGTGATTCAATTTGGTGATTCGAATCACTGTCCCAAATCAATTTGACTGAATCATGCAGGCCTGTCCCCCACCCAGTCTCCCAACCCCAGCAATGGCTGCCCAGCTTGCCCCAGCTGCAGCACTTTAAGGAAAAATAAAACAAAAAAATGCTAGACTCACCAGCTCCTGCCCAGTGGGGGGCACAATCCCCACTGCCCCACACTGTGTGGAGGGCTCTTCCACAAGCTCCCTGAAGCCCTGAGGCTGCTGAGTACCCAGGGTTTTTTTGTTTGTTTGTTCTTTCTTAAAGGGCTGGAGCTGGGGCAGGCGGGGCATCTATGGGGGTGGGGCTGGTA